AGGGGGCCCAAAGAGAAGTTCTCAGAGGTTTTCCACCACAAATGACCTTTTAGATGGCTTGTGAAGTATAACAAAGTCTTTTATTAATGAACAATCAAATAGAAACTTCTCTTGTCTTCAGAAAGTTAAACAAATGATTCCAGGCTTTTTATACAACTGGTAGCTTCTTAAACTTGCCCACGAAGGACAGGCAACTGTCTTCAATAACTTCTTCTTTACTTTAAAGGAAAGTCCCCTTTTTAACTTCTCCCAGGCTGACTGTAATCTAATCCTTACTGATGTGGGCTCTGCTACTGGGTCAAACTGCTTCTCGAACGCCGAGTGGACCTACAAGTAAAGGCTTAGATGTTCTCCAGCTGGAGTTCTTTGGTCTTTAGGGCTGTTTCCCTGGAAATCTTTGGAGACTCTTAAGACTGTTCTCCCCCGGAAGGTCTTGGATGCTCTTAAGACTGTTTTCCCCCGGAAAGTCTTAAGGGTTGAAGCTTTTGTACAGGGGAAGCTTGCACACGTCCTATACATTAGCTTTCCTTGCTGAGACTAACTAAAAATGGCTCCCTTCCCTTCCCAATTGCCCTGAGCAAGGGGCGGAACCAAACTTAATGATGAAGGACAGGTGACTTGCCCTATGACTGCAACCAAAAGAAGCCACCTATCTGCAGAGTCCCTGAAACCCAGGGCTGCAAGCAAACATTTAATACAAAGCAAATAAAGTTGGAGCTCCTGGTACAGCCGTACCAGCACAGGGGTTCTGTATGGGAAGTTTGCCCCAATTCTGTCGTTGGTGGGTTCAGAATGCTCTTTGATTGTAGGTGAACTATAAATCCCAGCAACTACAACTCCCAAATGTCAAGGTCTATTTTCCCCAAACTCCATCTGTGTTCATATTTGGGCATATGGAATATTCGTGCCAAGTTTGGTCCAGATCCATCATTGTTTGTGTCGACAGTGCTTTCTGTATGTAGATGAACTACAACTCCCAAACTCAAGGTCAATGCCCACGAAACCCTTCTAGTGTTTTCTGTTGGTCATGGGAGTCCTGTGTGCCACATTTGGTTCAATTCCATCATTGGTGGAGTTCAGAATGCTTTTTGATTGTAGGTGTACTATAAATCCCAGCAACTACAACTCCCAAATGACAAAATAAATTGTTTTGAGTGAAGGACATACATTGAGTTGTTAGGTGTATGCTGCCCAAATTTCGTGTCAATTCCCCCAGTGGTTGTTGAGTTCTGTTAATCCCGCAAACGAACATTACATTTTTATTTATATAGATAGCACATGTACTCTATGTAGGGCAGAGATGGGTGGGTAGGAAGACAAGGTCAAATGAGGCCATGCAGAAGCCTGATTGCAGGAACAAGCATCATCGAAAGAGCACTATAGTGCTAATGGAAAGAAGGTGTGCAAATCATTGAAAACAACCCAACTGCTGCAAGGCAACAGGCTAGCGTGATAAAGCCCTGAGTTCCCTTTCAAAGTCAATTCTATCTGCAATATATATGTTGAACTGTTTTCCTACAATGGCTATACCCTACACAATCTTGAGATTTGCTATTTGATGTGTGCGTATGCTGTGGCTCAGAGCTCTCTAGTAAACAATTTTAAGTACATCATCAAACTAAAAATCCCAGGATTCTATAGGTTGCAGTTAAACATGACAGTTAAACTGGCATTAAATTGTTATCTATCTATATAATGAAAGTCTGTGTTTGTATGCGGAGGGAGGGAGTGGCTGCCACTTTCACAAGTCATTGTTACCGCTAAAAATGGTGAACCTGGACTACACTCGGCACACATAACCCCCATGACCCACTTTACATCCTGGTGCGGTTTGGGGGAGTTAGACCACGGATTATGGGATTTGTAGTACTTTCAAACGCTTTGGTTCCCACGGACCACTATGGCCCCCAACAAAGACCGATGAAGACCAACCTTGGCACACAGAGTCCCCATGACCCACTCTACATCCTGCTGCAGTTTGGAGGAGGGAGGACCATGGATGATGGGACTTGAAGTACCTCCACTCACTTCCCAAGACCACTGCGACCCACATTCAATGACTGATCACAACCAAACTTGGCACACAGAGCACCCATGACCCACTCTACATCCTGCTGCGGTTTGGAGGAGGTTGGACCATGGATGATGGGACTTGCAATTCCTTCACTAACTTCCCGAGAGCACTGTGAGCCACATAAATAACTGATAAAAACCCAACCTTGGCACACAATGCCTTTCTCAGAAAAACCCGGGCACCGCCAGGTCCCCAAGCTAGTAGTTGTATAAAGCAGATATACTCTAAGACATGAGATTGAAACAATCTACATATGCAGAAGAAAATTGAGGTCCTCCCCTCAGACTTGAAACATTCATAATGGAAGCAGAGGAATCGCATATTTGAATGCATCAGGTAGCAATATTTTGTGCCATTTTTTTCCATGTGATTTTGGTTTCATGTGACATTATATGTTGAGGGGTATGCTTGTTTCCTTACAGCAGAATATTCAGACTCTTGGCCCTCCATTTCTTTTGAAATGGTACAGTCCTGCTTCTGTATCAGACATGATGCAGGCCTGCTTTTTGGTTACTCGGCTTCAAAATGATATTTGGGTTGCAAGAACAGCTTGGTTGCACTCCACAGGACAGCTTTTTCCAGGTCACATCAACAATGTTCAAAAATAACATTGTGAAGAGAACCACATTTATTTATTCACTAGCCGTCCCCTGCCATGCGTTGCTGTGGCCCAGTCGGTGTATATGTTTTGTGTGTATGTATATGTGCATGTATATATTTGTGTGTGTGTGTGTGTGTGTATGTATGTAGTTTTGCACATGCATTATAATGTATTTTTTGGCTCTTTAAGTCCCTTCTGCGGTGTTTTTCAGTGTTTTGGTTTTTGTGGGGGGGGGGGGGGGGGTGAGTGTTAGTCACTTGTTGGCCTGATAGGTGTATTTGTTCTGTCACGCGCTGGGCCTGTAATAATTGACTTTTGAAACAGGACGTGCACCTTGTGCCCAGCAGGAAGTCAGGGGCGCCTCGAAAGAGGCCTTTAAGGATTTTCCTGTAGAGATAGTCTTTAGAGTCTTTAATGATGTAACAAAGTCCTTTATTATTGAACAAATCCAACAAATATTTCTCAAATCTTCAATGGGTCAAACAAATGCTTCAAGGCTTTGAATTAACTGGTGGCTTCCTTAATCTTGTCCACGAGGGACAGGCCAGGCCAAGTACAGATTAAAATGTGCTGAGTATGCTAAGTGAGATATAAGGATATTTGGGTAAGTGCAATGTGCGGACAATCTTAGATATCTAATAAAGTGCTTCTGGGACATGTTGCTGGAGTTTCCTATTCTGGAAAGGCAATGTAATGAGGTCCTAAGGATTCAACTAACCCCAAATTTATTGATGATTTTATATACAAACGTTTGTTGTTTATTCATTCAGTCGCTTCTGACTCCTCGTGACCTCATGGTCCAGCCAACGCCAGATCTCCCTGTCAGCCGTCACCACCCCCAGCTCCTTCAGAGTCAAGCCAGTCACTTCAAGGATACCATCCATCCATCTTGCCCTTGGTCAGCCCCTATTTCTTTTTCCTTCCATTTTCCCCAGCATCATTGTATTCTCTAAGCTTTCATGTCTTCTCATGATGTAGCCAAAGTACTTCATCTTTGCCTCTAATATCCTTCCCTCCAATGAAACGCAAATATTCCAAAATAATAATAATAATAATAATAATAATAATAATCCTTTATTTATACCCCGCTAACATCTCCTGAAGGACTCGGTGTGGCTTACAAGAGGCCGAGGCCCAACACATCAATAAAACAACAGCATAACAAATACAACAATAAATAAACTCATAAACTCATAAAAACAAAACAATAAACATTAAAATATTAGCAGTAAACATTAGGCAATAACGCCACAACGCATTTAAAACTAAGGCCGGGCCAAATGTAATGATTAAAAATTTTAAAAATGCTGGACGTGACAGGTGAAATGGATAGGTTTTTGGAGATAGGTGCGGTCTGCAGACAATCTTAAATCTCTAATAAAGTGCATCTGGGACATGATGCTTGGAGTTTCCTATTTTGGGAAAGCACACTAGAACAACCACGTCTTCAAGCTCTTCCTAAAGACTGCCAACATTGGGGCTTGTCTGATGTCCTTGGGGAGAGAGTTCCAGAGTCGGGGGCCACTACGGAGAAGGCCCTGTCCCTCGTCCCCACCAATCGCACTTGCGACGCAGGTGGGATCTCAAAATAATCCTATTCAAAGAAGAAAGGTCTTATAACCTTCAGTTGTATAAAGGAAGGAGATTCATTATAGCTTTTGCCCCCTCTCTCTCCCCTCACAAAATAAGCTATCCAGCTGAGAATCTCTTTTCTTGACTTCCTGACTGTGAGAGCCGTTCAGCAGTGGAACTCTCTGCCCCGGAGTGTGGTGGAGGCTCCTTCTTTGGAAGCTTTTAAACAGAGGCTGGATGGCCATCTGTCAGGGGTGATTTGAATGCAATATTCCTGCTTCTTGGCAGGGGGTTGGACTGGATGGCCCATGAGGTCTCTTCCAACTCTAGGATTCTATGATTCTATGATTTTGCATCTTGCAGAATGTCATTTTTCCTTTGCTGATAGTCACTCCGCTATATCCTGCTGTGCTCAGTCCTAAACCACTCAGTATTTTCAGCCGCAAATACACCTGCTTTAAGTCAAGGTGAATAGTGCACATTAAATTTGCCGAACACCCCGGAAACACCTCTCCATGCCCTGACAGTGAAAAAACAGATCTGAAATAAAACACCTAACCATTTTGCTGCTCTTTTATGAGTTTCCAAATCTAGGTGTTTTTCTGTACAGACCACTTTAGAGTGTTAAGCCCCTCTTTCCTTCTTTTTTTCTTTCTTTCTTTCTTTCTTTCTTTCTTTCTTTCTTTCTTTCTTTCTTTCTTTCTTTCTTTCTTTCCCTCCCCATGTTTCCCTTGGCTCTGCACAGGCCCAGTTTCTCTAATCAGATGAAGCCGTGGGATTATCTCTGTCCCTCGCAGCCAGGCTCCATTTTGATTCCTCTCAGTCGGTCGGAAAAGCTTCGGAAAGTGGCAAGCCGAAGGGCTCACCTGTGGAAGTCCAAAGCAAAGACTGTGGGCTGTGCTCTTCCCCTCTCCCTTGGATGCTGTTTCGGCTTCCTCAACCTCCTTGCCTGGCAGGATTTCCGAAAGGGAAGCAAGAATAATAATTATTATAAGGACAAACCCACACACAGCATCCTCTGGTGGCTTTCGGCTTTTCTCTTTCTTTGATTTCTGAGCATCTTGTCTGAAGTCCCCTGAAGATTTCCTGGCCTGTGGAAAATCTGGATGTGAAATTTCACCCTGTGGAGGGAAGGTAAGAACTGCGGGCACCTCTTTCTTTCTTTCTTTCTTTCTTTCTTTCTTTCTTTCTTTCTTTCTTTCTTTCTTTCTTTCCTTCCTTCCTTCCTTCCTTCCTTCCTTCCTTCCTTCCTTCCTTCCTTCCTTCCTTCCTTCCGTCCTTTCTTTCTTTCCCTCTCTCTCCCTCTCTCTCTCCCTCTCTCTCTCCTTCTTTTCTTTCTTTCTTTCTTTCTTTCTTTCTTTCTTTCTTTCTCTCTTTCTTTCTTTCTTTCTTTCTCTTCCAGTAATTGATTGACAGTGGGATTGTTTTTTCCTAATATGTATTTAGGAATAACAAAACCGATCCTGTGAAGCTAAAGAGACAAATCTGTTAAGGTGAAGGCGAGGAAACGGAGCAGCAAAAACTATGTAATGAATTAGGGTTTCTTACTAAAAGAGAGAAGAGAGTGACTCATTGAGACGCTGGGAAATACACTTGATTGAATTCTGGTTGTAATGTTTCGTTTTTCCTCTTGCGAGACGAACTTTTGCTCACTAAAAATCTTACTCCATCCCCATGGAGAATTTTTAAGAAGTTTAAAAGGACTAAAAAGGTAAAGGTAGTCCCCTGACATTAAGTCCAGTCATGTCTGACTCTGGGGTGTGGTGCTCATCTCCATTTCTAAGCCGAAGAGCCAGCGTTGTCCGTAGACACCTCCAAGGTCATGTGGCCGGCATGACTGCATGGAGCGCCGTTACCTTCCCACCGGAGCGGTACCTATTGATCTACTCACATTTGCATGTTTTCGAACTGCTAGGTTGGCAGAAGCTAGGGCTGACAGCGGAAGCTCACGCCGCTCCCCGGAATCGAACCTGCGACCTTTCGATCAACAAGCTCAGCAGCGCAGTGCTTTAACCCACTGCGCCACCGGCTAGCACTATATAAATAACTCTCTTTTACCTTTACCTTAGATCAGTGTTTCTCAACCCGGGGGTTGAGAAGCCCCCGGTGGCGCAGTGGGTTAAACCCCTGTGTTGGCAGGACTGAAGACCGACAGGTCACAGGTTTGAATCTGGGGAGAGGTGGATGAGCTCCCTCTATCAGCTCCAGCTCCTCATGCGGGGACATGAGAGAAGCCTCCCACAAGGATGATAAAAACATCAAATCATCCAGGCGTCCCCTGGGCAACGTCCTTGCAGACGGCCAATTATCTCATAACAGGAGCGACTCCTGACACGACAAAAAAAAAAACCTGGGGGGTTGGCACCCCTGGGGGGTCGTGAGGGGATGTCAGCGGGGTTGCCAAAGACCATCAGAAAACAGTATTTTCGGTTGGTCATGGGGGGAAGGGAGAGCAGGCGTGCTTTGCGCATGGCAGCATGGTGTGCATGTGCGGGTGAGGGAGAGCATACAAGGCTGGAGGGAGGCTCATGTCAGTGAGTCTCTTCAAGGCATGGGGCTTCTGTGTGGAAAGTTTGGCCCTATTCTATCCTTGGTGCTCTTTGATTGTAGGGGAACTATAAATCCCAGTAACTACAACTCCCAAGTGCCAAGGTGCATTTTCCCCAAACTCCACCAGTGTTCACATTTGGGCATATTGAATGTTCATGCCAAGTTTGATCCAGATCCATCATTGTTTGAGTCCACAGTGCTCTCTAGATGTAGGTGAACTACAACTCCCAAACTCAAGGTCAATGCCCACCAAACTCTTCCAGTATTTTCTATTGGCCATGTGAGTCCTGTGTGCCAGGTGTGGTTCAATTCCATTGTTGGTGGAGTTCAGAATGCTTTTGATTGTAGGTGAACTATAAATCCCAGCAGCTACAACTCCCAAATGTGGACTCATTTCCCCAAACTCCACCAGAACTCAAGGTTAATGCTCAACAAATCCTTTCTGTATTTTCTGTTGGCCACAGCAGTTCTGTGTGCCAAGTTTGGTTCCATGCCATCGTTGGTAGAGTTCAGAATGCTCTTTGATTGTAGGTGAACTATAAATCCCAGCAATTACAACTACGAAATGACAAAATCACCCCCCCCCC